GTGTTCAGGGAGGTCCTGAGACTTGAACCCAGGATCTTCCCATTTGAGTTCAGTCCCCTTATCACCTGGCCCCAGAAATATACATTTTATGGAGCTTTGGGGAAATAAATATATGCTATAAATATTTAAGATGTACATAGCTTGTATCCTTGCCTCTATTTCACAGAAATAAAAGTCTGGTGGGATAGAATATTCACTGTAGCTTTGTTTATAGTGCCAAAATTGGAAACAGGGGGAAAAAATCAGAAATGGGGCCACCTGAGGTGTCTGAATCCCACATGGCTGACTGCAGTTTGAGTCTCAGACCTAGCAACTTACACTCTCATGTTCCCTCTCTCTCTCTCTCTGTATAGCAAATAATAATTATTATTAACATATTAATTATACTAGTATAATTAATAATAATTAACAGGGTGGTTATATTAATATAATAATTGATAATATTGATTACATCAATATAATTATTAATAATAATAATAAATGAAAAAAGAAACAGGTGAGGATCCACTGGTAACAGAATAGTTGGTTAAATTGGGACCAGCAGTTGGCGTAATGGCTATGTCACTGAACTCTCATGTAGTCGACCGTAGTTCGAGTCCCAGAACCCGGTGGCTTAAACTCACACCAGGCACGTGTGCATGCTTGCCCAAGGTCCTGAGAGGAGAATGGAGGAGAAGGGATTGCGGTGTGGCCATCCTCCCTGGGGGGGTGATTTCTCGCTTTCTGTCTCTCTGTCTCTCTGGCGAGCACATGCACCCCATAGCAAAAACTTCCCCAAGGAATAAAAAAAGAATAGTTGAATAAATTATGGCATATCCATAAAATAGAATATTATACAATTACAATGTATATTAAATAATAATGTATAAATAAAGATTAATAAGGTATTCATTTATGAAGATGAATATATAAAATTATTTTCCTAGATAGAATTGCTAGTCAGAAAGTACAATAGAAGGGGGGAACCTATTCATAATAGCAACAACAACGAAAAATGCCCAGGAAAAAGGTAACAAGATTTCTATAGGATAAAAATATATAGTGCTTCAGGCTGACAGATAGCGTGGTGGTTGGGGCACTGGATTCCCACATAGCCGACCATGATTCGAGTCCCGAACCTGGCGGCTTGCTTTCTCACTTTGTCTTTCTCTCACTCTGTCCCACTCTGGTCGAATTAAAATAAATAAACGTATACATATAAATATACAAATAAAGTTAAGTAAAAAATAATTCTTTAAATATATATGTATATATTGCTGGGTCAGCCCTTGGTGTGGGGTTAAGGTGGCTGGATCCCACATGGCTGACTGTGCAGTTCAAGTCCCAGCTTAAAAAAACTTACCAGGTATGAGTGTGTGTGCCCAAAATCCTGAAAGAAAAATGGAGAAAAGACTATGGCATAGCCATCCTCTCTTGTGAGGGGAGGGCTTTCTCATGTTCCCTGTCTCCAGTGAGCACATGTACTCTCTTGCAAAATTAAAAAAACAAACAAGACTATAAAGTGCTATTAAGGAACATGAAAGAACATCCAAGAAAAGACAATTGTGAACTTTCCCTCTCCTTATCTATACATTTGTCACAATTCTAAAAAAAAAAATACCAGCAGCAGCCCAAGAGCATGGTCCCAATACCTTAAAAAAAATTGCTACAGGGCACGTGCACTTGAGGGAGAGAGAGACAGAGAGAGAGGGAGAGAGAGGGGGAGGAAGCACCACCCTCCCCACCCCCCACCCCTGTGGTGGGGGATAGCCATGCTGCAATCCCTTCTACTCCATTCTCTTCTCAGGATTTCGGGCATTCATTCACATGCAGCCGGGATGATTTTCAACCTGCCGAGCCTGGAACTTGAACTATGGTCAGTCCTGTGAGAGTCCAGGACCTTAACTACTATGCTACGTGCTGGCTCCAGCCATGATTATTCTTATGGTTCTTCAGACTGAAGGCAATTTGCAGTGTCCTGTGCAATGTCCACGCATGAGGGGGTCTTCAAAAAGTCCATGGAAAATAAGTATTATGAAAAAACTAGGCATGGACTTTGAAATGTTTTTGCACTAAAATAAGATTTGTTTGTTTGTTTGTTTGTTTTTTATCCTTTTCAGTCTTTGCTGTAGGGCATGTGCACTTGCCAGAGGGAGAGAGGAAAGTGAGAAAGCGTCCTCTAGGGGGATGGCCACACTGCAATCTTTTCTCCTCTATTCTCTTGGGATTTGGGGCATGCACACACAAGTGCCCAGTGTGATTTTCAAGCTGCTGCATCCTGGACTCAAACTGTGCAGTCCCCCATGCAGGATCCAGCTGCCTCAACCTCCACGCCACCTGCCAGTCTTATCTTTGTACTTTTTTTTTTTGGAGAGGTGTTTGCTATAGGTCATGTGCACTTGCCAGAAAGACAGAGAGAGACAGAGAGACAGAAAGCGCAGGGGGGATGGCCATGCCTCAATCCCTCCTCCTTCATTCTCCTCTCAGGATCTTGGGCACGTATGCACATGCGCCTGGCAAGAGTTTAAGCTACCGGGTCCAAGACTCAAACCATGGTCGACTACATGGGAGTCCAGCGACATGGCTATTACGCCAACTGCTGGTCCCTATCTTTGTACTTAATTTAATTTTTCTACAAAAATTTGAAGTCCCCTCATACATAATGGCACTTAGTTTTATAAAACTCTAGGCTATTAATATTTTCAAATTTATCACTTGTATTAAGTGTACCGAGGCTTGGTGAGACCTTATGACTCCCATAAAAAAAAAAAAAGGCAAAAACCCAGCTTCAGGGCTAGCAGGTGGTCTGGCAGTTAAGGTCCTGGACTGCCACGTGGTTGACCCCCAGTTAGTAGTCCTGGGCCTGGTGGCTTGAAAAATCACACCAGTCATGTCACGTCTGCATGAGTGCCCAAAATCTGAGAGGAGAATGTAGAAGGAGGTTGCAGTGTGGCCATTTCCCTTGGGAAGAGGAGTGATTTCTCACTGTGCCCTATGGTAAAACACCCACACCCACACAAAACGCCTTCTAACTGGTGGAACCAGGTTTTCTAACCCAGATTATGAGGGTCTTTCTCTCAAGTTCCCTTTGTCCCTCACTCACAGTAATACACCCATTTAAGAACAACTGCGACACGACAAGAACTCGATTGATAGGAACAGCAGTAAGGTCATGAGCAGGTCAAGGAACAGGAAAGAAGGAATTCCGAAGGAGGGATCCGCAAAGGCTGCAAGACGACCGTGGAGCTGGGCCTTGACAGACGTTTGCAGGCTTTGGGGAGCTGCCAGGATACTGACAGCTGTGCCTAAGGATGCTGTGGTAAGGCAAGGAGTTGGCCAGGGAAAGTTGGCTTCCAGTCCTGGCTCTGCACTAGCAGCTGTGAGATGTGAGAAGGTCGTGTCCCTTTCGGAGGCGTGCTTCCTCAGGGACTGGTGCAGCCGGACGGGAGGGGCGGGGTAGGGATCGCTTCTGAAGAAGAGAGCGAGGCAGCCAGGCTGCCGGCTCAGAGGCGTGGATGCAGCCTCCCTCCGCCGGAGTGGCGGGGTTCGGCGGTGCCTAGGGCCGGGTTGGAGCAGATCGTGTAAGTCTGCCGCGGGGCTGTCAGCAGGGCTGGGGGCGACGGGGGCCTTGGGGCAAGGATGCTTCTGGAAGAAGTGACCTTGGCGCCCCGGGGGTAGGAGGGGGCACGCTGGTGTGATGCAGACAGGTCACCGCGGAGCAGGCACCATCGGGTCTGCACTCTGACCACGAGAGGGCGCTGCGTCCCAGTTGAAGCCGGAGATGACCCGCCACCCGTGCGTGCAGTTCAGGCTAACCTTTGGCCCCAGGGGCGCAGGGTTGGGGGTACCCGCGGAAAGCCGAAACTAGTGGAAATGGTGGTGGGGAGGCGTGGAAGACTGGGACGCAGCCTGTACTAGAGCTGCAGCTGCCCTCCAGAGCGCGGAGAGGTGGTGGGGGTGGAAGTCTGGAACTTTCTGGGCCCACCACATGCCAGGCCGGATCTCCTCTCCTGGAGCCGACGGGCATGGGGGTGCAGATTAGGTTGGCATCCTCGCCTTTGAGTCTTTCCCTGAGACTCCTGAGATGCGCTGGCCGCCCAGAGCTTAGGGACTCGGGACAGGGGGGCGGCGGAGACAAAGCAGCACAGCAGGAAACGCCCTCCTCTCCCCACCTCGGAGCGGGAGGACGCTGGCGGTGGCGGGTGGTCCTGGACCAAGCTCGCGCGGTCGCCTGTGCGTTTCTTAGCCTTGCTCAGCCTCACATTCCTCCTGTGTTTAAAGCTCCCTTATAGGGATGTTGTGACAATTAAATGCCACAAAACGTTGCCCAGGGTGTTCTGGGAAGTGTGGATTGACACTGGCGTGGGGACAGGACTGTAGAAAGAGGCTCCAGTCTCTCTGCCGCCCACACCTTGAGAGCCCCAGCAGAGGCTGATCCAAACCTTGGTAACTTTCCTCCGCATGCCTTGTATCCCTTTTATTTCTAAAGATGGCCCTCTGTCATTCATTGCCCCCTTCTGCACCAGGCGCCAAACTAGTCTGGAGGGGGCCCGGCAGGTGGCAAGGTGATTAAGGTGCTGGGCTCCCTATGGGTACCCAGCGATTCAAGTCCCAGACCTGGCACCTTGCTTTCTCGCTCTGATCAAATTGAATAATAATAAATAAAATAAATAATTCTGTAAAAATAAAAATAGTAGCCAGCAGAAGAGATTTGAGCTTTGGCAGGTAAAATCCCTTCAGGTGTTCAGCTGTAGTCCCCCCATGAATGTGGGGGCTCTTGGCTCTTTGAGACTGTCAGAATGGAGCCAGGCCTCTTGAAGCTCATGGAAGAGGGGCCAGCGTGTCCCTCCTGGGTCTGCCAGAGTAACCCTACTCTTCTCTAATCCTTGAGGGTGGAGGACATGTCCCTTCAGGAAACAAGTTTCTCAGAGACCTCACTGGAAGTTGGTCCTCACCTGAGCAGTTCTGTCAACTGTCCCAGCCCTCCTTGGGGACCCAGGGTCCCCCAAAGGCCTCCTTACCTCAGGACACAAGCTCTTTCTTGCTCTCAGGTGGGGGGTCCCACGTCGAATGAGCTCTCCAGGCTCATATGCACTCCTTTGGTCTTGTCGAACCTCACCTCCCCACTTCCGTTTTCACTCATGTCCCCATGACTGTGACACCTTGCCTCTGAAAACCACTGAATGGATTTTTAGCAGTCAGTGGTCTTCCTTCCTCGTTTTCCTCCACCCCCACTGTGGCCTTTTTTTCCTCCTTTCTCTCCACCTCTTCCAACTTTGTATTAGAACTATGCAGATTAAGGAGCTGAGAGGGCTGAAAAAAAACGCCCCTTGAATTTTTTTTTTTTTAATCTTGGGGGACAAAGATTTTTCCCTCCCTCGCTAATTCACAGTAAGGACAGGACTCACAGGGGGTAAACTAGAGGGTACAGGACAGAGCGTACTTCCAAGTAAAAAGAAGGGGCCGGAGTAGGTGCTGGTAAGAGTAGGGTGGGGAACAGGGTGCCCAGGCTGAAGGGAACAGCCCCGAGCTGTGAAGGAAGCTGAGAAGGAGGGGAGACAGGAGTTGGGCAGCCTAAACTGGGTTAAGAGGAGACTGTTCCATGCTTCAGTGGTCACCGAAGGCTGGGGAGAGTGGATGGTTATTTCTAAATCTGGGGTTGTGCACTTGGATGGCAAGAGTGTCGGAATTATGAGCTTTGGGTTCTAAGTCCTGCCAGGCTGGGGCAGGCCCTGTGCAGAGGGGACCCAGCATCACAGGAAGCCCTGTGGTTCTGGAGCAAACACCAGCCCATGCCAGGTCACCCAGGAGTTTGAGGGGGTGTTAGGAGATGTGGGGTCAGGGGAAATTTTCATGACTAATCTAGATTCATTCTCCCCCTTGCTAGTCCTGTTATTATGGTACTCTGGGGTCCTAGAAACAGTGACGTTAAAGTAAAGGCATTTGAGGCCCCCAAGATGGCAACAGTGAAGTGTCGTCCGATGACACAGGCGTCAGAAAAATCTCCTCATTCCATTGAACTGTTCAGCTTTTGCCATGGAAGGAGTTGATTCTGGGGGCTTGGGAGGTGGGAACCCATGTTGAGGAGGGGTGTCTCTCACCCCATCTCTGTATCTCTCACCACCATCCTGGTCATAGGAGTAGTTACACAGCCCCCAGGACACCTGGCCCTGCAGATATAAACTTCTCTCCTGGGCCTGGTGCCCGGTCTCCCAGTGTCCTTTTTTGCTGTCTCTGTGCTCATGGCCGAAATACGACCTCTCTGTTCCCTAAACTGGAGACTTGTCCATGCTTGCCTCTGTGGGCCGTCTGGAAGGTAGGCTGTGAGGGTGTCTGGCTCTTTCTCATCACTCAAGGTCTAGAAGGCGATGATGTTCATGTGTAGGAAGAGACGTTAAAGATGGGACCAGCGAGTGGCCTGGTGGTTAGGGTGCTGGACACTCCCATATGGCCGACCAGGGTTCAAGTCCTGAATCTGGTGGCTTGCTTTCTCACTTCCTCTCTCTCTCAGTCTCACCCTCTGTCTCTCTCTGGTCAAACTAAAATAATAATAATAATAATAATAAATGAATAAATAAATAATTATTTAAAAAGATAACGAGGGCTGGAGGGGGTCACATGAGCACTCGGAGTTACTTGCGGAACTTCACAGCTCTGCAGAGACCTCAGGGCTTGCAACTGAATCACAGTGGGCTTCCTTCTCACCAGCCTTGCAGTGTCTGTCTCTCCTGCAAACAGTTGCAAACATGGCTTTTTTTTTGTTTTTCTTTTTTTAGACAGCATCTCTCTGTAGTGCAAACCCCAATCTCCTGAGTAGCTAGGACCACAGTGCTCTTTTTTTAAAAAAAAAAAAATCGCTAGAAGGCAGCTGCACTTGCTGGAGAGAGAGAAAGTGAGAAAGCACTCTGCGGGAGATGGTCATTGTGTTGTAGAAACAGACTGTTAAGAAACTAAGCAAGGCTACTCAGAGAGGAGAACTCAGGTTTATCACAGGCCGACTCAGAGCAGTTTAGATTTTAAATTTTGGGCCCTGATTTGGGGTAGGGTAAGAAGTTATGCTGGTTTCTAACAGTCAAGGTCCACGCGATAAGCACGTAGGCACAGGTGATGGATGGCTCAGCGGGGAAAGGCTGCAACACTTACAGACCATGAGGAATTTAAAATTTAGCTTTTTTTTTTTTTTGAGTGTGATGACTCATCCTCTTTAGCTGCTGAGCATT